TGCAGGAAAGTCCTCCACGGACCTTGTGCGGGCTCGGCCTTCTTGACGAGCACTGTTTGGTTAGTGCCTATATTGGAAATCGAGTCCTTGCCTGGGTCTGAAGTCGGGGGTGTGGCTGACTATGGGTCGTTCCCCTGGGTCAAGCATCTGTTAAGCGCTTACTGCATATCAGGCATTTGACCAGTCACACAATGTCGTGTATGCCTTGCGATTCGACCTTCGTGACGACACCATGTGGCATGACTCAATGCATCTGCTTTACTGATGCCAAGTTCAGTAGCTTCGCTGTGGCCGCCGGACAAGGTCACCCCCTGTGCTGTCTTCCTTCACACCGGGTCTCCAAAATAGAAGAACTTTTCTCTGGAGCGTGTATTTGCCCCTCTCGTGGCAGCTTCCTGCTTTCGGGAAAAACAGGTCATATCCAGAGTTGAGGGGTCCACTTGGAGATTTTTTTCAGTCATTTATCACATATTTGTAACTGAGTTCTGTTCAGATACAGGTGATATATTCTTACTACTCCGTAGTCACACCTAGTGACAAATGCCTCGCCCAAAAGCTGTTGTCGTCCTGTCCCACCTATTACTGGAGGACGACTTGAGGGTATCCTCCACTGATCAGCAGGTACAGCCTGCTAGGTGCGGCCTCCAGCTGAGTCAACTTGGGCATTAATACGTCACAGGCAAATTACCTGAGACTATTAAGAGCTATTAAGAGCGGGTTCCTGGGTCTATGAAAGGCTCCATCCGAGCTTTTGTTCCTGTGAGGGTAATGCCCAGCATGTAGGCATTAAGTGTCACTAACTTCCTAACTGGCAAAGGGCTGCAAGTCCTTGGTATTTGACTGAATCTAGGTAAAGTCATAATTACAGTTTTCACTGATTGCTTGGCCCCATGCGTAGCCCAGTCCCCACTATTTCTGTCCTCTGCTCTCAGCTGACGGTGCCCTTTCTAATCGTGCTGACTGTGGGCTGGTCTTCCTTGGGAGAGTCCTGAGGGCGTCTGCCAGTGAAAAAATCCACAGGCATTGGCCCATGGCCACTTTTATTAATACCATTCATGATTTTTTTTTTTTTTTAAGACAGAGTCTCGCTTTGTTGCCCAGGCTAGAGTGAGTGCCGTGGCGTCAGCCTAGCTCACAGCAACCTCAAACTCCTGGGCTTAAGCGATCCTTCTGTCTCAGCCTCCCGAGTAGCTGGGACTACAGGCATGAGCCACCATGCCCGGCTAATTTTTTCTATATATATTAGTTGGCCAATTAGTTTCTTTCTATTTATAGTAGAGATGGGGTCTCGCTCTTGCTCAGGCTGGTTTCGAACTCCTGACCTCGAGCAATCCGCCCACCTCGGCCTCCCAGAGAGCTAGGATTACAGGCGTGAGCCACCGCGCCCGGCCTCATTCATGATTTTTAATCATGTTCTTGATAGCCCGGAAGACCACAGCCTCCTTGTAATAGGCAGACCTTCCCCCTCCCTGGGTGACAAGAGTTAGCAAAGCACAAATGCCTAGAAAAAATATTTATCCTACTCTAGTTCGTCCTCAAGGAGACGTAAACCCAGAACCCAGGAAAATAAGGAGAGGCAGCCAAAGCGCCATACTTGCCTGCCATTCCTCATCAGATGCACTCCCTCCATGAAAATGTAATCGAACCCTGTGCGTATTTTGGGCCGAGTTGATAGTTGTTTACTGCATACATTTCCTTCAATTTCTCCAAACGCTCTTTATATTGCACAGCAAAAAGACATTCATTCCATACCATTTCTAAAGTGCCTACTATGGGCAAGTCCCTATGCTGGGGGCTCCGAAGGAGGTGAATGAGGTCAAACATAAACTGGGGAGACTCAGTGACCGTGTTAGGAACCAGCCAACTACTAAAAAGCAACGGGCAGACTGTAAAACCATTACACTGGCTCTGTATCATAAACCACGTGTGCTTCTGCCCAAATACGCAGATCAACTACTGCTCATGGCCTTGAATTTCTTAGAAAACTACATTTGCTTGTTCATTCTGATAGTCATTCAACACAATACTTCTCGAGGGTCTTTGATGTCAAACTTAGGCGCTACTAGGAAAGCAGAATGGAAAAAGATAGGTCTCCTGCCTTCACATAGCTTATCATCTGGCCATCAGGAGAGATTTTAAGTAGGTCTTGCTTGTATTTTTATTGTAAAGGATAAACAGGGAGTCTGTTGGTTACTGGGAAATTTATGATGCTTGAAATGCAACATACCTGTCACATTCAAACAGACATCATTCTTTCATAGCCATCCTTAAAATGCAAAAAATGTATATAAAAATTTAAAATAAGAGGGACTAAAGCATGCCGCTAAAGTGAATTGATTTGCAAGCTCTTCTCTGTGATGAGACCCTCCATTGAGAAGGTCTGTGTGGGTGCACAGGGAGGGTGCTGTCATGGGGCGTATGTCATCAGGGAAACAGACCCTCATAGGTGGCTTAGATTTAAGGCAGCTTTTGTAGAACTTGAAGGTCACAGAGAGACAGGCCTCCAGGAAGCAGGAGGGCTGAAGCAGAGGAGATAAGGGAAGGGAGGAGGTCGCCACAGGGGTCAGAATAGGGGACAGAAAAAGATTCTCTTAATGTGAAGGGAAGAGCAAAGCCGTGGGGTAAGAATGGAGTAGAATGAGGGGGAAGGAATAAACGTAGAGTCTGCGTAATCGCTAGGCTGAAGGATTTTTGTTGTTTTTGTTTAATCAAAACAGATTTTCATGTAAAACGTATGCATGATACAAAAATCAAAAGATCTATAAGGCCTATTGTCCAAACTCAGTCCCCTCCTGGCCCTGGCTCCTAGCCATCGAGTCCCCTGCCCCATAGACAACAGTGGTTTTCCTGGGGGTCCTTCCAGTACATGCATTTACAATTTGGATAGAAAGATGAAGAGAAACAGGAAGGAGACAGATAGATGGACTATTTGGTATACACTATTAGGTACTTGGATATTTGTAACTTGAAATCTAACTTGGAGGCCTTTTTTATTTCATTCAATACATGCAGCACTGCTTGTATTGATATGAGATCAATACAAGCTCCTTTTCATAGCAAAACACGGAGAGCTAACTTTGTACAGCTCCATGATATTCTATCATGTGGCTCTTCGGTGAATTTCTCCTCCTATTGATGGACATTAGGTTTCTGTTCCAGACTTCTGCTATTCTTTAATGCAGTTACATTCATTTTTCTGTAGATCTGCAAGTATATTTATAATAGTAATTCCTAGAAGTGGAATTGCTAGGTCAAAGGGAGTGCATATATCAATTCTGATAGATATTTAGACTGACCTTAAATTTGCCACGATCAGTATTTTTTAGATATTAAACCTGTTGGTCTTTGTTCCAGCTGTCCTAGTCCTGGGTGCAGTATAAGCAGATAGCACATTGCTTTCCCAATTTGCATGATCATAGGAAATACGGGGGGGGGTAGCTTGTTAAAAATATAAATTCTCTGCCCCACTCCCTATACCAACCAAATCATAATCTTCAGGAGAGGGGCCTGGGAAGCAACTTGAACTATAGCCAGACCAATCTGGGAAACCGTCAGCATGAAAAAGCAATGTCCCAGATTTTGATGTGGCGTTCAGGGGAGATGTAATTCAGAGCCATGGGAAGGTGATAGGAAAACCTTACAGCACAGATACTCGAAAGGGTTAATGAGCTGTGGTAGTTTCTTCCTTGGAAATATTTCACAAGAGCCTGGCTGCTTCTTGCGGGGACAGGTGAGGCAAGATCTGTGCAGAGGCAGGTGGCCAGGTACAGTGGGGTTGGAGGAGGGTCGGGAGGTGAAGGTGGATCGAAAGGCTTGCGTTTTATTTCCCATTCTTAAACTATATGATCCTATAACTATGTTTTACGTCAAAAGTGCTCCTCTTTATAATAATTACATCAACTACTGAAAGGGAGCACTTTCTGTGCCTGGCACTCTGCTATGTAGTTAAATATATTGTCTTTACTTCTCACAGTGGTGCTGTAGGGTGGGCAGTTTCTTATTTCCTCATTTCATACGTGGAAACCAGGCCGGGCGCAGTGGCTTACGCCTGTAATCCTAGCACTCTGGGAGGCCGAGGCAGGCGGATTGCTCGAGGTCAGGAGTTTGAAACCAGCCTGAGCAAGAGCGAGACCCCGTCTCTACTATAAATAGAAACAAATTAATTGGCCAACTAATATATCTAGAAAAAATTAGCTGGGCATGGTGGTGCATGCCTGTAGTCCCAGCTACTTGGGAGGCTGAGGCAGGAGGATCGCTTGAGCCCAGGAGTTTGAGGTTGCTGTGAGCTAGGCTGACTCCACGGCACTCACTCTAGCCTGGGCAACAAAGCGAGACTCTGTCTCAAAAACAAACAAAACAAAACAGATGTGGAAACTGAGGCTCCCCAGAATTAAGTGACATGCCCTAGTTAGTCCGTTCTATCAGTGACAAAGCCAGGACAGGGATCCAAGTCTGTTAGATTCCAAGACTATGATATTTGCAAATGCACTGCACATACTTTACAAAAGGGAGTAGGAAAAGCTGCAGGATAAACAGCACCCAACATGGACAGTCCATTTACACATTTTTACCTTGAAATAAACGAAACATTATTTTAGCACAGAAAGTAAAATTTGTGTTCGTTCTAAAGATAAAAATAGGAGATATAAAGCCATTTCGCATTGTCAGCTGGCCGCTCCCAGACCGCCAGAAATCTCGTTTCGCTTTCCTCTTGGTGTTTGTTTGGTTAAAAACTTTGAGGAATACTGCACCCTATTTAGTCGCTAACATTCGCCTCTGTTTGTACACGTAACACAAGGGGTGCCATGAAAAACATTTGTACCTTCAAAACAGCGTGGTATCAAAACACCTAAAGCAAACACTGTTAGAATATGCAAGAACAATTTGGGCAGCAAACACCCTTGTAAACCCAAAGAAGCACAAAACCACAAAAACAGCAAATGGGGTAACTTGTGTTGAAAAACTCTCCTTCTTGAATATCTTTTTCCTTCCTTTCTCAGGTAAGAATGGTGGTACCTGGGGGATCTCCAAGAGCAGCTTCAAGAGTCAACTATCCCAGTAATCCCTACAGTTGGAGAATTTCGTGCCAGTGGAAAAATCTATGGCATCTCACAAACTGTGAAGCTGAGAAATCTACCTAGATCCTGCCACAGAACAAAATGGCAGCCTCTTTTCTTTCCGTGAAAGGAAACTTTGCAAGAGACGGTAGCTTTCCTACTGGGCTGTTATCAAATTAATGACCTTGCCTCTTTTAAACCCTTACTTTTGAAAGGATGCAGAAACACAGCAACTATTGCAGGATTCAATGAGACAGAGGAGCAGGGTGATGCTGGTGTTAGTAATAATTTTAATACTTTTAACGATAATAATAATATCTAATATTTATGGGATGGTTATTATATGCCAAGCCCTAGAACAGCGGTTCTCAACAAGGGGTGATTTTTACCACGCCCCCCACCCCCAACCCCTGCTCCAAGGGACATTTGGAAATTTCCAGAGACATTTTTGGTGGTGTTGATGGACAGGATGGTGTTTGGTGGTTGGGTTGCTACTAACATCTAGTGGGTAGAAGTTAAGGAAGCTGCTAAATGTCCTACAATGCACAAGATAGCACCCTTGGCCCCCAACAAAGAATTATCCCACCCAAAATGTAAATAGAGTTGGGGCTGAGTAACACTGCAATAGACTGAGGCTTTTCCATGCATTTAACCTTCACAATGACCCTATGAGACACACACTTTTACTATCCCCACTTTTCAGATGAGAACATTTAAGGGACTAGCATAAAGGAACTAGCTCCAATTGCTTTGATCTTTGAACAGCCTCAGGTTTCTTTCTTGAGATCTATTGGGAACTAGGATCATTGCAGAAAAATGCAGATTTGCCCAGAGGCTGGGAATTAGTTCCCTCCAACGTCAGCATGAAAGTTACTCAGCTCAGGCTGACCCAATTCCTATCCCATTCTGGGATGACGCTGACCAACAGCTGGTCATTGGAGCAGTGGGGAGAAGATATTATATAATGTCTACAAAAGTAATGAAAAGTTGAGTTAACTGCTAAGATAAGCAACCAGAAAGATAGAGAGTGAGAATATACACTGATTTAAAAATATGTTTTTTCTAAGCATGATATGGAGACTGTTCCCCCACATCCTGTGTTCTTTATTCCTAATTTCAGATAGTGCTGTGGCATGGGCTGCTGAAACAAAGGTCTCGATGCCATGAGAATCAGACGAGAGAGGCAATCTCTACCCTGCAACCTTATACAGAATTAGGTCATCGAATTCCAAGAGTGTTGGGTCCCCTGGAAGACAACTTCTGTTTTTTCTCTTTTTTTCCTTTTTGATAAATGCCTAGCTCCTAGTCAAAATATTTATGACAAGAGACAGGAAAATCAGGCTTTTTCTTTAAACCATTTCTCAGTGTCTGGCTTGGATGTCCCGACTACTTCTCTTTCTTCTGCTCTGTTTTCTATTCTTTTATTTTTGTCAACTTTTTCACAGTTTTCCCGATTTTCACCTTCTCTTCTCTCCTGCAATGGTGGTTCCCACTACCCATGTAAAATGTGTAGGAAGGGAAGAGAGAATTGTCTAAATAATTAGACAGACCATCTGCTGGGCACATTGGTGTGGTTGGGGACATGAGGGTGATGGCCTCTTTAGTGGTAGTGAAAGAACACTGAAGGTCTCATCTGAAGCCTCAACTAGAGAAAAATTGACTTCTAAGCTCACTCATGTGGTTGTTGGCAGGATTCAGGACCTTAAGAAGGCACTTGAGAGAGACTGCTACCAAAAGTCACAACTTTATATAAATGAATTTTGGAAGTGACAGCCCATCACTTGTGTGTATTCAACTGATTAGAAGGAAGCCACTAAGTCCAGCCTGCATTCCAGAAGAGTATTACACCAGAGCTTGAATCCTCATCATCTTCACCTTGAGTAGACTGACGAGGAGGAGAAAGAGGAGGGGGTTGTTCTTGCTGTCTAAGGGGTGGCAGAGGTGGAAGAAAATCCACATTTAAGTCACCCACATAGCTCAAACCCGTGTTGTTCAAGGATCAACTGCATATTTATATACATTTCATATATCAGTTAATACTAAATTGCGAAACTCGAAAATGGATAATTACCTTTGAGGGACCAGTTAATGAGACTCCAAAATGAGTAAGATTTACCTTTGAGGGCCTGTCCTCAGTCTAGACCAGTAGTCAGCACTATGTCCTGTGGGTTCAGTCTGCCCTTCACCCCATCCGTTTTTGTATAGTTCCTGAGACAAGAATAGTCTTTACATTTTTTAAATGTTTGAAAAACCAAAAGAAGAATGATATTTTGTGACACATGAAAATGATATGAAATTCAAATGGCAGGGCCTATGAAGTGTTATTGGAACATAGTCACAGCCATTAGTTTACATACTGTCTATTATAGGCTGAATGTTTATGTCCTCCCAGAATTCATATGTTGCAATCTAATCCCCAATGTGATAGTGTTTGGAAGTGGGGCCTTTGGAAGGTTATTAGGGCATGAGGCTGGAGCTCCCATCAATGGGATTAGTGCCCTTATATAAGAGGCCCCAGAGAGCCCCCACTTCCCTTCCACCATGTGAGGACACTTAAAAAAATGCCTTCTCCCACCATGTGAGGACACTTAAAAAAATGCCTTCTATGAACCAGGAAGTGGGTTCTCCCAAGACATGGAATCTGCTGGCCCCTTGATGTTGGACTTTCCATCTGGCAGAACGGTGAGAAATAAATTTCTGTTGTTTGTAAGCAGCTCAGTTTATGGTCCTTTCTTAGAGCAGCCCAAACCGACTAAGACATTACCTGTGGCTGCCTTTCTAAAAATAGCAGAGTTGAGTGATCACTACAAAGATCACATGGCCCACAAGGCCTAAAATATTTACCATCTGGCTCTTTTAAGAGAATGTTTGTCCACCTTTGGTCTAGAGTAAGATGGACATGCAAACAAATAATTATTGCACTGTGATAAGCAAACACTAGACTCACAGACAAGAGGCACCAGGAGCACAGGGCTGGAGTATTTTTCTCCACATGGAAGGAGAACAGAGAGAAAGGACATTCTATTTTAAGGATTCTTAAACTGATGATCACAGACTCCTTAGAAGGTGAGGTACTCCCTGAAATCTTTTGCAAAACTCTGTGTTATGTGCAATTTTTCCCCCTTAGGGAGAGGGCCCATCTCTTTCAACAGATTTTCAACAGTGTAAGAACTACCACTGTGGGCAGACCTGGCAGCCCGTGCAAAGTCATGGAGGTGAACTAGAGAATAACACCGTTCTAGGGATCAATAGGAGATTATGAGAACAGAAAACCAATTTCTATGGGGTGTAGAGGGATGAGGCTAAACAGATGTCACCCAGCATCAGAGGGATAACGCAGGACCTGGGTGGAACAGAAGGTCTGAGGTCTGACCCAATACAGGTGTAAATCCTAACCAATGCAAGGATATGGAACAACACCACGTTAAACAGATTTAGTCTTTGCTCTCAAGTGGCTACTCCATTGAAAGCCATTGGTGGGTAGAAAGAACTCACCCAGCCTATGGATATGCTGTAGGCTGGCAGTTCACTGTGTTGAAGCTAGAAGAGTTGGCCAGGTGACTGACTCTTTATCCAATCCTTGGTCAATTCCCATCCCATGTCCCCCTCCCAAGCAAAACACTGACTAAATCTGCCTCTGCCCAAGAAAGGCTGGCCAAACAGCAAGAGGCCAGCACAAGACCCTGCTTCCTTTTCAAGAGCTGAGACTTCGTACTTGATTGTATCGTGGGGCGCATAGAACAACATAGAGCTCCCAGGTACGGGGGGAGGGAGAGTTCCTAGGACTAGGGAAATGGATGCTCTGGAAGTGAGGCGTGGGAGGAGGTAATGGTTTTCACTGGATTCCTTCTTATATTTTATTTAGGTTAAGTTCTGCTCAGCAGGGTGATTTCTTAATTAGAGCCGCCCAGCCAAGCAGACCTCCAGCTCAGACCCCTGTGCTGCTGTCTAAGGTTTCATGAGGGACCTTGTCCTGCCTTATTTCCTGAGTTCTAATATTTGAATAGTATGCAGTGGATTTCAATGGGAGGAAAAGACATGTAATTTAATCATCTTTATTAGATTTTGCCTGTGGATGGGGAGCGGAGGAGGAAGGAGGAGGGACCTGGGTCCTCTCTTTGTTGATTTTCTTTTTCTTTTTCTCTACCTTTCTTCTAGTGGTCAAAGAAGGAAGAGAATCATCAATGGCCTTCTTTCCCTCCTCCTTTTTTTTTTTTTTTTAACAAAGAAGCTAAATGAGTCTATGTTAAGCCCCAAAGGGAATTGCGTTCATTGCAGGACTTTTCGAGGCCTGGTGGAGCCATTTATGTAAACAAATTATGCAGTTCCTCCTTCAGCAACCTGGATCCTGCGAGTGAGTGAGTGTGATGCTCCTACTACAGGCTTTTGTTCTTTTCATCAGCAAGACTTCACAGAATGGAGAAAAATTAAAGAGAGAAATGATCCATGGTGTATTTCCTTACCTGGCTATAAACTGGCGTCATTTTGGCTCCAGGGAGAACAGAAAGAGAGATCAGCAGTGAGCACAGTACCTGGGAGAAGAAGGAAGGGAGGTCTGTCCTGTTGCCATCCGGGGAGTGTGCACCTTGGGACGGGATAGGAACTCTGCACAGAAATAAACAAGAGCAAATAGTCAACAGGGGATCTTTTAGAGGAGATAAATCTATTGGAGCTTTTCAAGAGAGAAAGAGAGACAGAAATCAGCGTGGCTCATCAAAAATAAAAATAAAAGGAAGACGTATGTCCAGAAATCTCCCAATTTGTCCTGCTAAATGCACACACACACACACACACACACACACACACACACTGCAGCCTATCATCCCTCCTCATGCCTCTATCCTGTCGATCTTTCCTCACTTAAAAATTATCGGAAAATAATTTATTCATTTGGGAGGATTCCAGGCACTACATTTATGTTCAGTTCGAGTGAAATGGGATCCAGACTTTCCCAACCATCCTGTTTTGCAGATAAAACACAAGGCAGAACTTCATTATCGGGAGACGTTGCCCTTTCTTTTTGCTCTTGCCTTTTGTCTCTAAGCAATTTTAAGCTTGTTTGGAAAGTCTCGTAACGGGGGCAGAACATTTTTTCTCCACATCTATTTCATGAGAGTTTTTTAGTTAGGAATAATAAATTTATCTCTAAACAGATGGAATAGTTTTACCAATGCTAGAAAAGATATTTTTACTAATACACCCTATAGGCTGATCTCAATCCTCTCATTGTTAAACGTGCTTGGTCCAAGAATCTTACTTATACGCCAAATGTCTTTATTAAATCATTATATTAACACAGAAAAAAATCTTATTACAATGAGTTTCTCTGTGTGATCAAAAGTTGTCTGCAGTCCTGCCGATAGCCTACTTATTCTGAAATTTAAAAAGGTGAAATTCACTGAAGCCCAACGTTTGGCAATATTTTTCAAAAATTCACTGCAATATGGCTGGAGGGGTTACTAAGTTTTATAAAGGCAATAGTCCCTAGACAAAAAGAAAACTGTAAAAAACCAGGCCTCCTATCCACCAATAGAAATTATTTCCTGGCAGTATTGTAATATGATTTCACCTGCAGAAATACAATGGACTTGTGATAATACCTTTGATTTTTTAAAAAGTGGCAAATTCAAGGGCAAATTTTGCTGGTGAATCTAGGCTTTTGGGGTGTGAAAAAAGTTTAAAAAGTCAGGAGAAGCAAAGTTTGGTGTGTTTGCATACAGGATTTTAAAACTGAACTGAACACACACAATTTTTGAATGTGAACTTAATACATGCTCATTATGGAGGAAAAAAAAAATCACTCGTAATCCTACCACTGAGAAAGCACGTTTGTTTTGGCCTTCCAGGCTTGCCTGAAAGGCTCAGTGTTAGCGTGGATTCTAGAAGCATGGGGCCCAATGGGCATTAGGAAATCCTAAAAAGAGAAGAGAGAACTGGGAGAGTCCAAGTACCATGACTTGTTAGGGAGAATTGGGGGGTAGCTCAGGCAAGAAAGGGCAGCCAGCCGGAGGGGCCGAATGAAGCATTAGACCCAGAGGGGACATGCATGCATGAAGACCTTGGGGTAGCACCAGCCCAGTGACAGAGGTGGGATAAATGTGACTGATATTGGGGAGAGAAAGGGGAGCGTGCACAGGGCTTGGCCCTATAGTTCCATTCAAAATCCTTTAGGCTTTCAAAGACTCGACCCAAATTACCTTTGTTGCTTACTCCAGATGCCTCAAGTCCCTGATATTATTACTAAGTACCTGCCAGGTTAAAAATAAACATTTGGGGATGGAGGGTGATTTTTCTCTTTTCTTTTTAATTGTAATTGTGATGTATTCATGTGAGGTCTGGCTTAGATTAGTCCCTGGCTGGGAGACCCATGCTAATTTAGTGGCTGCAATTAGGCCTGCCTCTAATCGTGCTCTGCTCTTTGTAGGACATGCCCTTTGAGTTGTTTTTCTGTAACAGAAGCAACGGTTATGCTGGCCCATCTATACTTTTTTTGCTCCAGGCCCCTTATGGCACACGTTGGTGAGACAACTGGCCAGGATTAGGGGTATGATCTGTGACCCTGAAACAGAGTGAAATTAATTGACAATGAGGGGGTTGATCCCATGATAATCATAAGCACTGTAGATACTCTAATATAGGAGCCCCCCGCCCCTTCTCCAGGGATGTGCACCTGCCTCCCAGTTGTAAAGATGCTTCCAATGTAAAGATTCAAAAAGGAAGAAGGAACAAACACACTTCTTCTAAGTATCAGTGCTGTTGCTTGGGGTGTCCCCCAGCCACAGGCTTCAGAGTAGGGGGGTATATGTCAACTGAGAATTGAGAATGATCGGCCTATGCTTTCAGTCTGCGGATGTTGGCAAAGGGGAAACGAGCTGTATAACCTAGTGCTGACAAAATAAACCACTGTGTAGTTGTACATAAGCGTGGGTGGGTGAGTAGGGGGATGGGTGAGTGTGTGGGTCCCCCTTCCTGCTGTACGAAAACAGCATAAGGTTTGGGGTTTACACTACGCTTTGATTGCCTGGGAAAACAGAGAGACTGTACAAATAAATGAATTTGAAGCCAGTTTTAAAATATAAATGAAAAAGTGCTTTTCCTCTAGCACTGTGGTCCCCAACCTCGGGCTGCCCACCGGTACCAGCCTGTGGCCTGTTAGGAACCGGGCTGCACAGCAGGAGGTGAGAGGAGGGTGAGCAAGTGAAGCTTCATCTGTATTTCCAGCCACTCCCCATTGCTCGCATCACCGCCTGAGCCCACTGTGCCTCCTGTCATGTCATGATTCTGCATTATTAGATTCTGCATTATGGTGAGTTGTATAATTATGTCATTGTATATTCCAATGTAATAGCAACAGAAATAAAGTGCACAATAAATGTAATGTGCTGGAATCACCCCCAAACCATCCCTCTCCCAGTGCCCCCATCCGTGGAAAAAGTGTCTTCCATGAAACTGGTCCCTGGTGCCCAAAAAGTTGGGGACCCACTGCTCTGGCACACCTGTTATTTATTAGCAGAAAGAAGAACACGCCACACGCTATCTTTGAAACCACCATCATGCTCCTGGATTCAGGAATAGTAGCAGGAAAGACCTGCTGGCGTTTGTGCGTTTGGGCAGGCGGGGGCTGTCGAGGGAGGGTTGAACACTCAGGAGTACTCACATCCATCTCATTCTTGGTGAGATGGGGGCTGTGGCTTGGAAGCCACGGGAGGCTGGAGGGGGGAGAGCTGAGGGCAGGAAGGGGAGGAAGTGAGCGAGGGGGGACGCCTGGGAGGGCTGCAGGAGAGTAACCAATTCCATCACTGGGGGCAGGTGGCAGTCTCCAGGGTCATTATGGGGCAACCCGTGCAGGGAAGGGAGGAAAGGGATTTCCGGAAGTCTCTGCTCTCCCTCCTGCCTGCTTCCCTCCTTCCCCTAGCGGTTGATTGCAAGGAGCTGCGGAAGGAAGGATGTATCAAACCCAGAGAAGAAAGAACCCCCGCCAGCCGCCCCCGGGACACCTGACTCTGAGCTGCAGCGGCAATATCGCTGAGGCCCCGCGTGTTGCAGATTAACGGCGGCGAGGGCAGGAGGCAAGTCACATTCTGCAAGGGCTGACTGTTTTCTTTAGCCCCGAGAGCTGGCTGTAGGTACAGGTTTCATATCAAAGGAAAGGAGGATCAAGTCTGTGGCAATATTACATCAGGTCCTGGACTGGTGGGGGAGGGGGTCCAGGTCCCCAGCGTTGTCAATCAAACGCCAGCTGAGTTTCTAGCCCTCGCATCTGTGGCTTTTCCGTCTGAGCAAATGTGCAAATAAATACGCAATCAGGCCTCTGTCTCCCATCCTGGACAGGGGCGGCTGAGGGGCATTCTCCACTGGCCAGGGTTATCTCTTAGGCTTTGAAGTGTAACTTTTGCCTTGTTTCGCTGGTTTTTCCACCTGTATGGAATTCTCCCTGAGGGAGGGGTGGGTCGAAGCTAGCTTTAAAATGAATCTTCGCTCTTGGAACAGGGGTTGTGAAAACGTGGGAGAAAATGCCAGGGGAAAGCATCAAAACTTTTTGGGGATAAACGATGGCCCTTTGAGTTTGCACATAGTCAAGGGGCAGTTGTGTGCTTGTTTCTCGCTCCCGTATCTACCTGAGCAGAAGGTAGAGGACAGAGGAACAGCTTCATTCAGAGGAACAGCCTCTGAATTTCCAGGTGGAGCAAGAGAAGCTCGATGTGGGGGGAAATGACTTGCTCTTGAGTATTTAGGATGAGAAGGGATCTATTCGTGCTGGGGATACCCGTCTATTTCTGCACTTTGGTGAGGTTTGCTTCGGAAAGTCATCTGAGAAAATGTGTTGCCACTGGTTGTTTCTGATGTCTGTCCTGTTCCCTGGAGTGGTGGATAACAGTCTCCCCAGTCCCCTGAGCTCCCGGAGAAGTAAAACTTCCCAGACATCCTGTGCTTCCAATATTTCCCTGAGTCTGTCTATATCTGCCAGCTCCGTTGCAGCTGTTGGTCTTGCTGGTTTCCCTCTCTCTTGTATTTTCTGTGAAAACGCTTTCACAGAGTATTAAGAACTGGTGGCCGCCAGAGGTTAAACACTAAACAATCTGAAGCAAGGGAATCTTCAGTGTGCTTCCTTCCGGAGGTTCCATTACTGTGTAGCTTGTCTTTTTTTTTTTTTTTTTTTTCCGTATCTTTTGTGGTGGGGAGGGGTTGGAGATGAGAAGGTGGTTATTTATTTGGGGCGAAGGGAATTTGTGTTATGCCTGCTTCAGACAGTCTTAATTTTTCATTGTCTATGCAGCTTTCTTATAAAAGAGCTATGATTTGTCCATTCATTCATTCATTGGTTCACTCATTCACTTAGTCATTCAACAAACGTATATCCAGTATGTGCTTTGAGTAGAATAAGGCTCAACACTTTAAAAGATAAATTTCTCTAAATATGCCAGCCCCTTCCCCACTTCCAGGCCCTGCAAATCCTTTGACCGAGTGTTGCCTTGAGAAAGGATGAGCAAGGTGAAATCTATCCCATTGGACGGGAACCTTCCTACATCCCTTTCCTGAGCAAGCGGTGAGCATAGGCCTCCTATGAAGCACTAGGATCTGCAATGGAATGGTCACAGAGCTAACTGAAAGTGATTCTTCAATAAGTGTCAGTGTGATTAACATCAGTTGATTTTTTTTTTTTTAAATAGGAACTTTGACTCAAGAGGAAAGAATAAAAGAAAAACCTTGCTGAAAATATTTGTAGCCTTATCCTTCATGGACAAGAATT